CTCTGACCACTCTGACATTCCAAGATCTTGTCCATACAGGTCAGGGTGGTCCGGGTTCAGGGGTGTAACATACACTATATTGCCAAAAGGGACGCCCCTCCAAATCATTGGATTCAGGTGTTCCGTGACATTTCCTTGGTACTAAATATTCCGCGTGTTGTTTTTCAGGGGTTGGGCTTGGCCCCTTAGTTCCAGTGAAGGGAACTCTTAAGGCATCAGCACACCAAGACATTTTGGACAATTTCATGCTCCCAACTTTGTGGGAGGGGTTTGGGGATGGCCCCTTCCTGTTCCAACATGACTGCGCCCCAGTGCACAAAGCAAGGTCCATAAAGACATGGATGGGGGAGTTTGGGGGGGAGGAACGTGACTGGCCGCACAGAGTCCTGACCTCAACCCCATAGAACACCTTTGAGGTGAATTAGAGCGGAGACTGCGAGCCCGGCCTTCCCGTCCCACATCAGTACCTGACCTCACAAATGCTCCAACATTCCCATAGACACACTCCTAAACCTTGTGGACGCCTTCCCAGAAGAGTTGAAGCTATTGTAGCTGCAAAGGGCGGAGCCAACCCAATACTGAACCCTACAGACTAAGACTGGGATGCAATTAAAGTTCATGTGCGTGTAAAGGCGTCCCAATACTTTTGGCAATATAGTGTATGGTGGAATACTGGTCGGCTTGGATGAGGCTCTTGGGTCATAAAGCCCAGAATATGCTCCAGCAGTGTGACGTTTTCTTCTATGGTTCCCCCCGTTGTTCACCTTCCTAGGCAGCAGAAGCTGGAGGAGTCGTTGCTGTTTTCCGGAAAATTCACAGACGCTCTTCAGGCTCTCATGGATTGGCTGTACCGAGCGGAGCCGCAGCTCTCCGAGGAGATACCGCTGGGAGGAGACCGAGATCTGGTCAGCGACCTGCTGGACAAGCACAAGGTGAGCTGCTCCTAGATCGGCCTAAATATAGAGATGTTAGAATTCTGTGTGGTTTTAATTGCCGTCTATGTGTAGAAATTCTTCTCCCTTTCTAATCTATGATGGAGGCTTCATAGACACCGCAAAAGACTTTCACTGTCACCATCATGTGTTACTTGTGTCAGGATGTCTTCACAGTAGGATATACACCGATCAGCCATAACATTGTGACCAATGAGAGGAGAAGGGAATAACATTGATTATCTCAGTACAATGGCACCTGAAAGTGGGGGGATATATGACAATGACACCTGGAAGTGGGGGGGGATATTTGAAAATGACCCCGGA